TCTCTCTCTCTCTCTCTCTCTCTCTCTCTCTCTCTCTCTCTCTCTCTTGCTCTCACTCTTCCACTCGCAATCGAATGAGACCAAAAGCGCGCGCTTGGTGAATAGACATTTTGAAATTAATTTAAATGAATGAAATATTTCATGAGATTTGATTTTTCCCATGGAATCGCATCGCGCAGAATTAATTGCTTTTTAATATTTGTTGAAGCAATAAAATAGAGTATTCTTATTTTTGGCAAAAAAAAACCGTGCCATCTGTGTGGCGACGACGGCGGAGACGGAGCTGAATCGCAAATAATTTTAAATCGGTTGAAATGCGACCGTTTTACAAAAATTATAATGAAACTTAACGCAAGTGTTTTTCTTCTTTCATTTTCTATGCGGATGCGTCGGAACGGACTACTTTCAAGTATTATTCCTGAATCAATTCTCATTCAATTGGAACGTGCTCGCTAATGACCGATTTTTCTTTCTCTCTGTGTCTCACATTCATTGACGCTAAAAGTCATACCGAGAAGCAACTCATAAACTGTAATCAGTTTATTTGTCGAGAGAGTGAGAGAGAGAGAGAGAGAGCGAAGTGAAAACTGTATTTTATTTCGTTTTCGTTAAGAACAAAAAGCGTCATCTCACTTCTGAAATGAGGTACGCCTGATGAAGTCATAACATCATGCTATTGGCACAACTAGTTTATATCCCATTTTCAATTCTAAGCATGCATTGTTGTCGACTGAATTATTCCAAATTATCACCATTTGTGCGGCAATGTCATAACCAGTAGATGTGTGTGAATGTATGTGATAATAACGAAGCAATTGCAACAAATTCAATTGTTCCGTATAAATAATGGGCAATGTCAATAATGATAAAGCAGTTTGAAACTAACGTAAGTCTCGTGTTTACTGCATAGATGCAGCAACAAAGCAGCTATTCATTCCAATCAATTTCCCATAAAAGTGATTCAACTCACTCAACCAACCAAGGAACTATCGTTTCAAATATCTGGCCGAATTTGTGCAATTTTCACAAAATACGAAACAGTTGATGAGTTGTCCAAAATTGTACGCACAAGCCCTCATCCACATTGTGTATTTGTGTGTGAAACAAGTTGAATTGCAAACAATCAAGTCAAATGATGGTATGACAACAATGTAGTTTATCCCTTTTTCTACAATTCAAATAATTGTCTGCTATCCAAACAACAAAAGTTGAGGGGAAAAAAGTTTTCTCCTTGTTCTATTCGTTTATATTTTCATCCTTTCCATCGTAAACCAAATATTTGACCTAACGAGTTCGCGTGCACAACACTAAATCCTGCACTAAATCTGACATCCAAATTTTGGAATATAATTGCTTTTATCAATGATTTACGGCAAACTCGTGCGAATAATAAATAATGATTTTCGATGTTTTCATTTTTCGTCTCATTATATACACGACGGCGGCAGCGGCGACGGCCAATGCAATGAGCGATAATTCCAAAAAGTGTCGCTTGCATTTTGCAGTCTATTCCACATTTAATACATATTCGACACACGTCACGACATGCGGCAATGTCATTGTGGTCATTCTATATTTAAATTTTTATTAACGTCAGTCATTTGATGCTCAGTTAGCATCGAAGAAGCAACATCTGAACCGACCGTTAAAAGATCATGAGAGTTCAACGTTAGTACATATACATACTGTATGTCCGATGTGAAAGAGAAAACAAATGCAGAAGTAGACAGAACAAAAAATAAGCAACAATTTGAAATGTACACTCGTACGCTTTATTAAGTGCTATGAATGGGTGATTCAATTGTATGTGTATGTTTTTGCGTTGGTGTATGTGTATGTCGCTTTTTTTTCTCTTCTTCTTTCAGTGTTCCGCATTGAAAACTACGCAAGCATGCATTGTTCTCCAATTTATTAATAGTCACGTAGAAGCATCCTGTCCGTACTTTTTGCTCTCTCTCTCTCTCTCTCTCTCGCTTTCTATCTATTTATCTATCTATCTCTCTCCCCACCGCCATATCTTTTGGTCTCTTATTTTTGCATTTTTCACGTTTATCTACTGCTAATCCGCAAGCATAAGTTATGCGAGACACAACACTTTGCAGTTAAATTTGATGAAGAAAAAAAACCGCTTTCGCTAATTGTTTTCACTCATTTGCTTCATTGTTACGTTCGTTGCCGCTGTATTTTTCTTTCATTTTTGTTGGTGTCGTGTTTTTTTTTCTCCTTCGTTCAGTTTTTTTTTCTTCATGTAACTTGCTTTCATTTTCTTTAGTCTTTTCACTGTAAATGAAAAGGTTTTGTTGTGTTTCAGCGGTGGTTCTTGTGCGTCGTTATTAATTCTTCTAATTTTTCCTCCTCTTTCCAACGGGAGAACGAGAGAGTGAGTGAAAGAATTTCCATAACTGTGACGTTCGTAAGCCACAACGAAGCAATAAGCGGGTTTTCTCCATTACGTTGCATAGAAACTAAGAAAGAAAGCCAATGACAAACAGCAACGAGACGCTAAAGAGAAATGAGCAACAAGATGCACGGCAAACACATAGGCTTTCGATTATGCAAATGTCAAAGTTCGTTAAAAGCACACACACACACAACACCCGTCTACCCGGTGTATATAGGCTGAACATCCATAATGAAAACCACAATCCGCGTGCATACGTTCATTGTGCTGTGTGTCTTGTCGCACACGGTGTGCCAACCACACACACACACACATAATGCACCACCAAATAATACACCAACGGTGTTGGCAACGAATATACAATGCAAGGCTGAAAAAGTATCGAGAAACGTATTTAATGCATAGAGAAAAGCACAATTTACGCATTCTTGTTATGCTACTAGACTTTTGTATTGCCAGTGTGTGCTCTGTTTCTATATGCGCCTCTCAAATACATGGGTGACATTCCACACAGTGGGGTGATGCAATTGTAAAGTTCTACGAAAAGAAGAATAAATAAGCGCCAAAGCATTAGACAAATAATGTCGAAAGTAAAAATACACCAAGCGAAAGCAGAATGAGAAAAAATAGAAACGACAACAACTAGACTCGACTACAAGAATTGAAATAGAGAAAGACTTTGTTGTTGTTGTTGTTGATTTTTATTTTTCACTTTGTTGGGCGGCACAGTTCAGTCTCGATTATACACATCGACCATAATCATTTTAGCATTCGAATTATCGAAGTGCAAAATCATCGACCCTTTTTCGATGAATCTTGATCTTTCAACCAATGCTTTTCATTATGTTTCACGAAAATTGATTTTCACATCAATTTATTTACCGAACGGGAATGGCTTGAACATTGAAAGGATTGGGATTAAATTACCGATTACCGAGTAAAAGGTATTTTCGTGAGAGAATCTCTCGCAATTACCACGAACCGAAGCATCTCATTTTGAAATCAATTTTATCGTCTTCAACCGAAGGTTTTTGAAGTTCTTTTCTTTGCCCAGCACCCAGGGACTTTTATCTCTATTCGCCAATACAAATTTATATGCGGAATGGTTAAAATATACGGTGTATACGCGGGTTATATATGAAATATGCACAAAATATACGGCAATTATACGTGGTTATAGTATGTATTTATATGAAACATTCGTCTGGAGTTAGAAGCCCCTAGCCCAGCACTATAGACCGATTCCAATAAGTACAACTGGGAACCAGTTCACCTATTCTTTGTACCTTTTTTCCGGGTTTGCCAAATCACTGATATGATTTGTTCGATCTATTCTGATTTGATATCAATTCGGAGAAACTCGCATTGACCACTTTATATTGGATCAAACGCACTGAATTTGTTGTCATAAATTTTTTATTTAAAGGTAACCCGTTTTAACTTCAATGACGATTATAATGAATGTTTCGCTTTTGTTTTCTAAGAATTTCAGCTTCAATGAAACTCTATTTTCAAGTTGTTGTCGATTTGGAGTTCGAGTTTGATATCTATGTTTCCCTCAATTCATTCAGTCTGCTCTACTAGCTAGAATTATTGCCACCCATAGCCTATGGGCCATAGGGGTCTAGCAACGACCATAAAATATATGTATTCCATCAAGTTTATCAAGCTCTTCTCAAGTTTATGCATAGTGTGGAACTTTTGTTCAAGCTCTACCATCTAAATGTACAGTAAAATAATTTACGGGCACGACGTTAGATGGCGTTTTTTCTGGTAAAAAAAAGTTGCAATATCCTTTTGTTGCCACCAGGATAGCATGTATATTTAAAAATGGCCAGCTTGAGAGCTTTAGAAAGCTTTAGTTTTTTTTTTTGCCAGAGTGGGGTCTGAAATTTAAATTTTGAAATTCCAAAATTTTGAAACTTCAAACCTAGAAAAAATCATCACACTTTACTTCTAAAAATGGCATGATGAGAGTCTGAATTTCGAAACTCAAGTCCTACGGTAAAATCGATTGAAACCCAACACGAATGTTGTGAATAAAATCTACATTCGAAATATGAAGTGTTAACAAAATTCAAGACTCAACTGTACCGGAAAATATACTGCACACATTCTAATATAGATAAAATCTGAAACGGCACGTAAATTGCTATTTATTTAGCCTTAAGTTACGGACGAATTGTTGACCTACTAAAGAAAGCGTCAACAGATTTGCAATAAAAGCAGCAGCAGAACAGTAGAATCAAACGGAATAATGGCTTGGCGTGTATGGGAATGGACGCAGCGACACAGCAAATCGGGCAGTGGTGACAGGTGAGGGTAGCATGCTTTGCTGTAAATACAATACATAATCGACCGACCGACCGGTCTAGCATTGGTACGCAGAGTCAAGACACACTGTAACTAAACAAATTAGTAGAGATCTTACGCTTTATTCTGTGTTTTTTTCCTTCCTTTCGCATTTTCATAAAAAATATCAACGTTTAAAATGCTTTGACGACCATTATAATAACAACGAGCGGAGATTTTTGTAGCGAGTTTCCGTTTGCGTTATTTTAAATGCTGAGCAAGAATGAGAGGGATAGAGAATGAGGAGGATAGAGAGACAGAGTATGTGTGTGTGTGTGTGTGTAAGCGAGCGAGTCATAATAGCAAACGGAACATGAATAGCATTAGAATAATGAAGGTAAGTTGAGAAAATACGTGCTATTTGCCCGGTAAATTGATATTTATTGGGTATTTCGAAAATTCGAGCATAAAAAGCTTTGTTAAAGCTGTGGCAATCAATATTGTTTGGCACACATCAACCGTATGATTTTTTGGGCAGTTCACTTTGATTGAGCAAGAGTGAGAGTGAGAGAGAGAGAGAGAGGGAAAGAAAACAGCTTATGAAGCTTAGGCATTCGGTCACCCACGACCATTCAGAATGATATATGGATTACTCAAACACCAAGGCTATTTCACATTTTCTTTGCGTCACAATGCCTACATTATCATTCCAAATACTAGTATTCGTAAAACCTTTGAACTTCAAAGAATTGAAGTTCAATGAGATTTTTCTGTTAAATATATATACATATTTTCTAAATAAGTCTATTTGGACACACCTTCGCTAACATTCCAATAAGTTGAAATATTTTCCGAGGAAAAAATGGAGCGATTTAATTAGTTTCTATACTTTATTACATTTCTAGAGGAATATTAAATTTTCATCAAAATATTCCAGGTGCCATATCGCTTTTATTACAACGAAAAAGAGAAGAAAACACCTGAATCACACAAAATGTTAGAATGAATGTTGGCACAAGGGACAATTCATGCATGCTGCGTCATTGTTGGACTCGAACCGGAATCAAATGAATTTTTTATGCATATTTCGTAAAGAATTTCATTAGTGAAATTGAAGTTTTTAATTGTACCATTTAATTTTGCGTGTACGACGCAACGAGAGAAAAAAAAACCGGTTTTCGAAACTGTAATGAAGCGCAGTGATTAAAATTAATACTTCCGGAGTGGATATGCAATGGTTTATTTATGGAAATGCTCACTCGACAAAATAATGGAAAACTCAATTTTTCGTCGGTTAGTCGTAGGTAAAATGCACGAAAAAAAATGACTATGCAACTTTGACTATGTTTCAAAATTCATCTCTGAACTGGTGTCAAATGACTGGTAAGAGATTTACTTTGGTTCAAAATTTAATTTACAGCAAAGCGAAGGACATTTCAGAGCGATGAAATTTTAAGTAAGAAACTAAAGTAATGGCAAACAATTATATTTTTCGTATTATTGAAAAACTTTTAAATTGGAAAAATCAAAATATTTTTGACGAAATGCATCATATCGTGTGCATGTGTGTTTGGATATAGGCCGGTTCGCCTACCCTACATTAATTGACTCGTGTTGTTTTTGTGGCTAACATTTTTAAAATGAACTCAATGTATGAAGAAAAATTGCTTACCCGCTTCGAAAGTTGCGTTCGTTTTGCTTAGTTTATCCTGGCATTCCAGCTCCTTTTGGTGGAACCATTCTTGGTTCGGCTCATCGGTTGTCACCATAACTGGTTCCTTTTTGTGTTTTCTTCTTGGCTTGTGACCGTGTATACGGTGAAGAGGATCGAGTTTTGTTCCTAACGTGCGTTTTGCTTCTTTCCCTTTTTATTAACTCCTATATGAAGCTATGTGTCTTGCACCGTTGTAAATCAATTTGAAAATGCTTTCTGTCTCTCACGTTTTTATTTTAACACCACAGTCATATAATATATATATATATATATATATAATGCCTAGTTGATCGTTGCACACGTATGTATCGTTTCTCATTCAATGGACACTAAATTCGTTGCCCATGTGCGATTTGAAATACACATATGTCAGAACATGGATGCAATCAAGTGCGATGTGAATCATTTATTACAGATGACGACTCCAGTTCGATTACCTAAATGTAATGGCAGGGAGAGAAAAGCGTAAAACTAAAAACAGTTAGTTTGGCAAGAAAAAAAAAACAAACAGAAAAACTTAAGAAAGTAAGCATCATTTTTCCATGAAAAGGTCAAGCACGTCAGACGTTGTTGCGATGTGGCCAAATGATGTTTTTCTTTCTTTTGGCAACCGCAACGCAATTCAACGAAAAATTGTGAGTGCAAGAAGAAAACGTATGAAGTACCATTTGTCGCCCATAATTTAGCTTTCACCCCAACAAATGCTTCATTTTTTTCTTCTTCAAAACCCATCGAAACAGTGTTTGATATCGTTCAATTTGTGTCTGTTGAACAGAAATAGAGTTCATTCGGTTCGACAAATATGATTCGTTTCCTAGGTAGCCGAATTTCATTTTGTGTGTTCTTCTTCGCTTGTTGAATGTGAACACTTGCAAGGAGATGCGCATTACCACGATAAGTCCCGAACCAAGCTAGGCCGTACCATGCCGATTTATTACTTGAGGCGCAGCCGAATCCAGACTGCGTGCACGGCGCGTAAAGTGACTCGTATATAAATACTTCAAAGTGACTAGCAATAAGTAAATTTATTGGCTTTTTTGAGAATCATCGTTGCCCATCACCCCACCATGATTCGTTAGTCTGGGCGAAAAACGCTTCGCTTTTCCAATATTAGGACTTTTTTTTGGATCTCGTTACAGCGCCATTCGCTTGAACAGCGGAATCAGAATTTCCAACAGCCATAAAATAAAGTTTTGATTGCGCAAAATTTTAGAGGCAATCATGTGCAAATATGCATAAGACCTCATAATAAACGAGAGAAAAAAAGAAGATGTTTGAAGACGAAGAAGAAGCTGTAGAAGAGGAACATACCTTTGGTATACCGATATCCAGACAGCTTTTTCACTTGTTTGAAAATCGCAATGTTTATGTTAAATATCATCTTCGATAACAGTGAAGGAGAGGAATTGCGATGATTATGATGGTGATGATTATGGCGAAAATAAAATCAAAAGAAAATTATACCGTTGAACTGATTATAAAGTTATTTGACGCTTTTCGAAAATTCACTTTTACATTTGCCTGGAATTTCATTGGCTGTTAAATGGGCCTCATCTCGAAGCCCATTATTCACAAACGTCGTTCGTAATATTAATCGGCCAAAAAAAAAATGATAGAAATAAAATATATTTACCAACGTGGAACTTTTGAATTTTCTCTCTGTAAAAGGGCTTTATTGCACAATTGTGCATAAAATCGATGGCCGGTGTGTTTGCAAACGACAAGCATATTAATTATGAATTTTCTGAACATGATCTATCGTTGAAAAACTTCAGAAGTTTCATTACACACCCGAAACAATGGAAAGTTTTACGTGTGTTTTTTTAAAACAAAGCGACATATATAGCCCTCAGTTTTAAATCCAATTGTAATTTCATACCATTTCTTTCATTCTCTCTCTCTCTCTCTCTCGATTCAACTCATCGCCCAGATTCCACGAATCATGAAAGCGGATAGCAATTCTACTTATTCATTAATCCAGTCGATTTGCCTAAACACCTGATAATATTTACAAGAACAACTGCAAAACAAATATCAAGTTAAATCGTTAGATACTCTTGTAAACAAACCGAATTCCATTTCTCTCTGTGTATCTTTTTCACTTCTCCAGAAAGACGAAGAGAAAAAACTTATAGAAGAATTCCGGGCAAATTAATTTTGCTGCTTCACTTCACTTTTCCCTTTCGCATTAGACACAACGAGGTGGGGGATGTTTCTTTTAATCGCCGAGTGGAAGCTAGAAAAAAAGAGCATCTGATCACTCGGCGATAAACATTTGATCATTTTTCTTTTACAACATTAATTTATTTGTGGCCATATTTTCGTTTCATTATCACTTGAGTCCCATGTAATACACAGACAGCTGTCGCTCTATCTCTCTCTCTCTCTCTCTCTCTCTCTCTCTCAATTTCTTCATCGCACAGCAAAATGGCTATAAAATGGTGCGAAGTAAATATATGTCAAAAATGAAATGGAAACAATTCATTTAATTGCGATGCGGTTCGAGATGGCGGCTGCTTCAGAGTTTGATCTGGCCATGTATTGTCATCATAATTTAGAGATTCGATGCGCGTTGAAAACGTAAATGGAGCGTCCCAAAACGCTTCCGATTTATCACAGAAATCAATGAATAATGAAGTAGCATTAATCTCCAGCAGAAATGATTAAAAGCCAACGCTAGCAAAATATCTTATCTGTTGCGACTCCCTCAAGAGCGTGTGCTATTTGCACATTTTCGTTTCGGTGTCTTGCTCTCGTTCTCTCTCTCTCTCTCTCTCTCTCTCTCTGTTTGTGCGCGTGTGTTTGAATGTGTATTTAATGCAAACGATTATAATAAACGGCCACATTTATATTTAGATATCGCATTTTATTGCACTTATTGCTTTCGTGTGCGTTTGTCTTAAAAATATCGCCGATAATTTGCCAACCGACGCTCTCGGTGGAGTGTGTAGATGCATTAACCAAAGAATTTGAAACGTATTAGTTTTGAACTGACAAAAATAGATTACATCGACCGTATGTATCATATTTTGCTGAGCTGTAAAAGCAACGATAGAAAAAACAACAGCCAAATGACATGACATCACTCACATTGGAACTAAATGGTTTCTCATTCGTTTCACACCATTGATGAAAGTGAGAGACAGAGTGTGAAAAAAAGAACCACGAACTCTTTCAGCTGTCAATGAAATCTCGACACTGCCTGACATTTTCTCCGCAAGTGTTTTTCGATGTACGCCAATGATTGCACTGACTCACGTACACCAGAAAGGAAGAATGAGAAAAAATAAACTAGCCAGAAAGCCAAACAAACAGAAAGTAACTGTCGGCTTGAATGAAAGCGCGCCACTCACCAAACGGAACTGATGAATTTTTGATTGACATGAAAACCAAATAATAACATTCGAACATTGTGTGTACCGTCATTGTACTGGAAGGCGATAATTTAATGCGGTGAATGGCATCGGTACATCTACCCAATAATCTCGATTTCAATTTTCATTTCGCGATGAAATAGCAAACAATAATAAAAAAAAAAACTTTTCACGATTCGATCACATCGAATGCAAGAGCGTCCGGACACAGAATAAAAATTTTATGCTGTAACAACCACCAACTGTGGGGCCATTCATTCAGTCAATTCGGTGTTGATTCGATTTGGAAAATGTTTATCGATTGCATTGCTTCTCCGTTGAAATGCATGATTTTTAGAAGGAAACATAAAAAATGCCACAATAAAAACATAATACACTTTAACTGGATAAGTACATACTGGCCAAATGTACAGATTCGATATCAAAGTGTTATGGCTATGGTAAAAGTTACAACTACAAATAACTTCTTTTGAACGGTATGCGAAAAGAAGAATAGAATGCATTTTCTGCCTTTTTTTCCCTCGGGAAATACAAACATATGTTGCATTTTCAGCTTAATTTGATCGAGCGATTCCAGAGGGCACTTTGTTATTGTTTTTTTTTTTTCAGAAGGAACCCTTATTAATTATTTTAAATGCAGTAGTATTTAAAAAAAATTCAGACTATTTCCATGAAGAATAGCAGTCTAGTGCCGGCGGATATGTGTGTGGCTTGATGGGAAGCTTTTAACTCTTGAATTAAAATCATTTCAAAAAGCGATTTTAAATGATGTAATTCCATATTGAATGATTCATTGGCGGCGAACAAATGTTTGTGTAGGGAAGTGAAAGCGGAAGGATAAATGCATCAGGCATAATGTAGTGCAAAATGAATGGCTCACTTGTTTTTTTTCTTCTTTCAAACATCACTCTACAAATTGAATGAATTTCCTTGACACGCACCAATCGTTATTAAAAACAATAACTGCCATTGTGTATAGCACTGCATTGTGTATGGAAAATGTAGAAAATAAACAACAATGTTACACAGAGACGATGAGCTCGAAGGAAAAGAGAAGAATAAAAAACATCGCTTTATTGTGATGAAATGGCATCAATTACAGCGGACAAAAAACATTAGGCAAAACACGAGAGAGAAGGAGATAAGAATCTTTCGTGTGTCATTATCATTATTCTGTGTTGTACGAGCATTCGGTTGCTAAGTACATAAAACGATGATCTGATATCGCTTGCACAGGCAAGTAACACAATTTACAATGGCATCGGAACGCTCATTCGTTAGCTCACCCGCTCGCTCGTTTGTCCTTTCGTTCGCTTCGGAAAGAAATATGCCAATTTTTCGCCCGCTGCGAAAATGACACTGGCAAATAGGAAGATTCATCTAATCAACACACTCATTGTCTAGACCACATTGTCGTTTCGAGAAGGGTAAACGATACCCACTGGGCATACATTTTCTCATCCAACCATATTTCCTGCTTCAGAAAATCGCCTTATTTAACGACACGAGCAAAACTAATACAAATTCAACCATAATAAAAAAAAAATTCTATTTTTCCCTGGTCGAATTTTCTCAATGAATATCGCTCTCTATTGGAGCATGTATAGAGAAACAGAGAGAATGAGTGAGTGGGAGAGTATAAAAGAAAAGTTTATTCGCAGAATTTAAAGAAAAACATTTGCTTAATCAGAATAGAAATTGCTTTCGACGACTTAATCAAAATAAAAATGCCCCGACGATATTTTTTCACGTACACTCATTTTCATAAAGATCTTTATTGCTCGCAATGAATACATCGCATATCATGGGCGATGAAACGTCAAACAAACCGGGATCTTTATGGCCTGAAGTATATCGCTAAAAGCTCCGAGTGTTGCAAGCGGCTCAATGGTTTTTTTTTCGCTACTTTTTCTTCTTTTTCTTCTTCTTATGCTTGCCGTGCCGGCAAAAACTGAAATAAACCATAATTAGTTATTCCGTTCATGTGAATTTTTGCCCGGACGCCCTCGCACTACAACGGGAATATGTAGCATGAACGAATGAAAACAGCATAATTTATGCGA